GTCAAAAAACATATTTTACATTGATAACACGTGTAAAATATGCAGTCTGGAACAAACACATATCAAAGGAATGATTTACACAAAAATAATTTAATAGTCTTGTTATGCACCAAATGTGCATATAACAATAGTCTAGCAAAATGTTTGTTTATACAACAAAATATTGACATTTTTTACCTTATATATAACCTTTTTTCATTTCTATTTGAAGTATTTTAAATAGATTGATTTTGAAAGCTCATAAATCAATACAGATATTTTAAAAGTATTAAACTTTTATTAAGTATTTACCTAATTGATAAAACGTGTTGTTTACACTTCCAACTCAAAAATCATAAAACTTTGCACACTTTTTTAAATAATTGAGTCTGATTAAATGTTACGTTTCCCGATTGGCTTAAATCATAATTATGTTCCACGTGCACTTAATTTGTATGCTTGTAGCTACTTAGTAACAATGGTATCAAGTCGGTCAGGAATCGTACTTAGATGCGTGCGCAACCATGACCTATGAATGCGACGCGCCAAAATGTTCAAGTGCGACCATAGTCAGACCCGAGTGTGACTCATTGCCTATATGCAATTGCGCAATCAAACCGAATGAAAAAATAATAATTTTGATCGAAAAAAATCCTGATTCTCCCTGCGAAATAATATGTGCAAAACACTTTTAATTTTTATATTGCGTCGTATACCGTGAGTGCGCAAAGGCTGACGCAGTTGCTGTAGAAAGTAATAAACAAGTCGGTCAGTAATTGCAACATTTTAATACGGTTTTCATTCAGTGTCGTCGAGTTCACGCACAATAACAACTAGCGTACATGAAAAAAAAACATAATAAATTCCATGTTACTGAATGAAACACGTGTTTCAATTTTTGCAAAGCGAAAAACTTGATGGAATGTTCTTGTCATTATAAAATCCACTAGAACTTGTTTTTTTACGCGGTAACAATGCGTTTTGAATTTTAATGACAACAAGCAAATCGTTAAGGGTGTGTATTTTTCTTGTTTTAATTGTGTACCACAAACAAATCGAAATATTTTCGCCGAATTTTTGTAGTTTGATAAGCGCGCAAGTGACAAAAACGCTACTACACTAATACAATTGTGGCGTAGTAGCTGCGGTATTTCCAACTCCCAAAACAGCACGTTTGTTTATTTACATCTCGGTGTCGTTTTCGCACCTCCTCCTCGGCCGAATCTAGCCACTAGGAAGTCCAATTTTATCTCGCTCATCTATATATGCGCACCGTGATATCCAACGGCGTAATACCGCAGCACAAATGAATTTAACCAAAATTTTAACTAGTACGTACCTTCCATCCAGCTGAGCTGTTACTATCACCCTTATCCTTGAAGTAAGGAACATTCTGCACCATCCACTCATAGATCTGCGAGAGGGTGAGCCGCTTGTCTGGCGAGGAAGTGATCGCCTGTGTGATGAGGTCCGCATAGCTCAGATTGCCCCATGCGTTCCGACGACTCGAGTTCTTCTTAGCGGCGGCAGCGGCGGCCGCCGACGTGGGCGCGCCGCACGGGCCCGCAATCGGCAACCCGCCGGCGCACTTGTTGCCCGCCTCGCCGTCCGGCTCCACGTAATTCTCGGGTCGCGGCTGTGGCCACGTGTTCGAACGCGCGCGCGCTTGCGGCTCGAAACCGCCGTCCAATTCCGCGAGCGGTTCCATGATCGACATGTTCATCTTCTGCACCGACCACTCTTCGTATCCGCTATCCATGGATACCACGCTTGAGTCACTGTTCGCACACAGCACGCGCAAATTAGCACCAAATATCACCGGGGGCGGCGGCGTGTACGAATTCACATCCAATAATAAGTTTCACTTTTGCGCAAAGTTTCAATTCAAAAAGTTGTTGCAGTTCAAAAAGTCATCGTATCCGTCTCGCGTTGCACACATGCGGTTCCTGGCAGTCGGCAGAGTCCACTCGCTCTGCTGTCGTCGACGTCAGTTCGGTTCGACGGTGATAAGACGGCAAAGTTCAGACGATAGCGCGGACGCGCGACTTGCGGCTGTGATCGCTGATGTTTTCGATGCTCGGCGAGCGCATATCACGCTCATCACTAAGTATACATACACTTGATGCGCGCACTAAATATCGTCAGCTATAGAAAAAGTGTCCAAATCCTTTTTGTTCAGAGCACACAGCGCGAATTTTAACTTCGTTGACAGCGCTAGAGAAACACGTCGAAATGAGTTTGATAACACGCGTTCGACTTCTGCGACGTTTGCGACGTGCGCTCGCGTTACGTGAGTAGCTCGCTGCGAGTTCTCGCTGTGCGGACGGCAGCGCGCTGACTATTGCGAGGCAGCGCGCGGCGAGTGCGTTGGAGGACGCGCGCGAGAGTGGTGGCCCCCTGCGCGCCCCCGCCCGCACCGCACGGATCCTATCCGCGCGTATTACTTATCGCGGCCGAGTCTCGGTGCGATGTTGCTACTTGGCGCCACGCATTCACTGGTGGCTTCGTAATTGTAGCACGCATCGCACGCACGTGACAGCGCCGGCCATGCGAGGCGCGTTAATTACTACCACCTATTAATTCTATCAAGTCGTCCGAAAAATGGACGCGAGCGAACGAACCAACATATAATCCTAATGCAGCACAAGTTAATTTGAATATTATCACAGAATCATAGTAAGTATAGTGTCACCTTGAAATATATTCAAATATTTAATTCCCAAAGTAACATTTAGGATTAAATATTGTAATAATTATAAATACTTGAGTCTAAAACTAGTTTTTAAATAGTCATTTTTGAAAAAAATTAAAATTGCAACTCTTTGAAAGTTTTGGTCATTGTGTTGAGTTTACAAATGTGTTCGGCCCATTTCATCTTGGTAAGACGTTTTGCATGTAACATTGTGTCGCCGTAGAGCCCCGCCTGCTTGAGTCCGCCACCCGCTGCGCGTACTTCCACCCCGGCTACCTGCCAGCATCCGCGCTACACATAAATACTGCCAAAAAGTAGGTAACAAACGCGGTAGTTTCGCCATAAAAGAGGTAAAAAGATGCAAAAGTTAATCTAACGCTCCGCACATATTCCCATCTTTGCGACGCCACGTCGGCGGCAGCAGCGGCGGCTATTTAGATAAAATACTTGAAACAAGCGCGCGAAGAAGCGCGCGCGTTGCGAATTCCGGTAATGGGTTCGCCCGCAATACGTCTTCATTTATGTCCGAAATTGAAATAAAGTTATAGAGCAAGTTCGGGATAGTCGACCTGCTAGGGGTGCGAATGGGAGGCGGCGGATGCTAGCGCTGGCGTTTTCGAACTTTCTTTATGTACTCGCCACCGCCGCCGCCAGAAAGATGCCATAACTGCCGACGACGGTGCGTCGCTCTGCCTCGGTGTCGTTACAGGAACGGAAAACGACTTAGGGTGGGTCTTATTGGATTATCGCGATCTGTCGAAATTGAACGGTTATCTAATCCAACTACAATCAATTCATAAACTCAATCAAATATTTTAGAAATATTTTTGCCACTTTTGTACGTATTTTCTAGATTCACGCTTTTTTAATGCAATATCCTAACTCATTTCAACCCTAATCAAAAATACATTGGTGTATTATTCTATTCTATGCTAGTGTGGTGCGTGGCCTTCGAAGACAAGGGCCTTTTCTCTTTCCTTTAGCCGTGGTGCAAGATTTATCGTCCGAAAATTAACCGCGCAGATCTCGCGTGCTTCGCGGGGGCGGCATGAAAAACCAGGCGGTCAGTAAGTCAGCAAGCACCTAATTGCATATGATATATCGTCCGGTCCACTCCGCCGGCGACTACAACTCCAATCCGAAGATATCCCCGAAAGAAGTGAGGGCGAAGAAAGTAAGTGGCTTTTAGTCCATCGCTCGACAATGAAACGTGTCGGAGATTTATGAGGAGAATCCCTGTTATTGTTTTATTTATCGTCGGCCTAGGAATGTGGACTTTCCGTCGTTATGTGTCGCGTGATTTATTTGCGAAACTGCTGATTATTCTGTGAACTATGATTAGTGCGACTGAAAAAAATTGAACAGACAAAAATAAATTTTAGATATTTTGTAATACTTCGATGTAACAAGAAACATCGCAATACTTACAGGAGTTGGAGGGGCAGCAAAAAAAAGAACGCTTGCGTAACGATGGCGCGTCGACGATAAACTGCCGAACAAATCGCTTAATTCATTAGCACAAAAACCTAATCCATAAAATAAATCCACTTAAGCATAACTCACACTAACATACGCGAGAAAACGCGGGGGCGGCGAGCGTGTTGTGCGCCGTGCGCCGGACCGGCCGACGTGGCGCTGATTTATCGCCGCCGGTATTCAATTTACGGGCCAATTTGTGTCGAGTAGATTTAGCGATCGGATCCGCGCGCCGCATCTCCGAAAGAGTTCGCAGTTCGCGCGCGTTTCGGGGGTGGCGGCGCTAATAGCTTTCACGACCGTGCTAAGGGGGTTAACACATCGTGTGAAGCCGAGCACTTGAAGCCGACCAATCTTGCCGATTGCCTCGGACGACACGGCGGGTCGTTCTTTGCCGCCGCCAGCCGCCGCCAACACGGCCAGTAACGTTTACGCTACACTTTTAATTCGATTTAGTGTTTTGCAGCGCAACGACTCTGTTGAGCGGCTGGTAATGAACGGCTTCCAACGGTGGAAACGGAAAAAGAACCTATAAGTGAACCATCGGAAGCGGCAATTAATTCAAGCTGTTAATAGGTGTTAGGCTGTAAAAAAAGAATTCCAGTCAAAATACAAATGAATGTGTTGACAACGTATTCTATTTTTGTTTTTAAAAAATTTTATTGAAGAGTTTTAATAAAAAATGAAAACGTGTTAATGATTTTTTCTTAATCAACATGCGGAAACTTATTTTCCATGCCATCGTCGAATAAAATATTAACCACCAATACATTATCCTGTTTTTCATTATCATTAGTATCCTCATTTTCACTTTGCTCGAACCACCGAAAACTTTCCAGAACATAAAAACACATTCAATTCTATTACCTTTATTATTTCTTTTCAAGTTACTTTCCCTAATTCACATTGCTTCCCTGCTTTCATACTTCGCTAGTTTAGTTTGCCTTTTAAGCAACAGTATCATTAACACTGACTAACTTTTAGGGCGTCCATTCAACATCAAATCAATCCCGGCAGAATTATGACTACTTTTAGTCGCGTTCCTTAACTTGCTTTAGTTTCAGGATAGTTTGAAAGCAGTAAATTACGAATTCATATCAAATGCAACGCATAACTGGCATACAATGTGCTACAATTATATTTTATTGATATGATACTATGACTTCTTGATTTTACTACAATGATATAATCAATAAAAACAACTATAAACTCCAAAGCGTGTGGAGAAGTGTAATAAAAAATTCGACGCATTAAATTATTAAGTATACGGCAATTATACCAGTAGAACTCGCAAAAATTCAGGATATAATCACGCAATATACTACTTTTGAGAAGTTTACGGAGGTAGGTAATTTTATAGTGTTTATCGCGAGGCGAAATTTTGAAATGAAATCGGTAACATACAATATCATTTTATAAAGTTTGTGTCATTGTTGCACATGCTATTAAAATTTCAATAATAAATCTTAAAACAAAATTTTATTGTGATTCATTAATATTCATATAAGTAAACCGAATCAAAGTAACGACCCAAAGGAATCATTTTATCGTCGATAGAAAGGATAAACCTTACGGGTTTCACTGAAACTTTTACTAGTCTGCGGCATGTTTCGCCACACTGTTGCATGATCAAGCAGATGAATATTCATCATTTTAGTAGGATTTGATCTTGCAGCGCCATCTAACAAAACAGGACAAACATTCAACTTACCGACACAGTTTTCTCTTATTGAGAAATATATCAATGTTAAATTTCGATTCTTGGTTTTAATTTGGTTTAGATCAACGACGTAATAATGTAATTAAACTAACACCAACAAAGATAACAAAGAACAAAACCTGAATAAAGAACAACTTGTCAGTAAACCACGTTTTCCTGTCTCGAATTCGAAAGCATTTCATCTTAGCCAGATATAAAAATGCCACCCCAAACTGAGACAAATCCGAAATCAGAAAACCTAAATCTCGCAATACCTGAAAGTTTTTTGTAACAGCAAATTAGATTTAAGTTGTAGATAAAATACTTACCCTGTGCAAACTTCCTTTAGCCAAAATAACGTTCACGAAAAAATTATCTACCCCGGAAACACATATGTGTACTACGCTAATTGCCATTATCAATAGTAATTTAAATGGTCGTAATTGCTTATTCCTATTTATAAGATTCAGCACAATTGAAGTGGAAATAATCTCTGTGATAGTGAAGTAAAGCTGATGGTCCCATTGTTCGTAAAAGTGATCGTTGATGTAATTTATATACACCCACAAGGAATAATAGTGTGGGTATAAAGATGTAAAAAATAAAAGGAGCATAGAAAATCGGACACGGCCCGTCACGATCATTTCCGTGATGTACTTCATGCATTCATACAAGACGATAACACCGGTGAGCAGAAGAAGCCATATTTTCATCATATCAAAGGTGGAATTGAAATAAAACGTTTTGTATTTGCTGATACTGTTTTCGTACGGACCTAATAAATACAAAACAAATTATTACAATGCGAATAAGCATATTTATGCTTTATATTACCTTTAAAAACGGTATCCCAGCATTCGCAAGTACAACTAGCCTTATCCACTGGAAAGTGGTATTTTCCCCATAATTTCCACATAAGGAATATGTGAACCACTGGTATGGCAAACGCCACTAGGTAAGCGACTAATGAGGTGAATATTTGTAATCTCATTTTGTCTTTTTAATTAATCTATCACAGGAATTAACTTAAACCATACTAGAAACTAAACGATTTGCTTCGAAACTGTTGCTAGACGCTCTGGCGAACACCTAGGAAATGCAACTTTTGCTAGTATTAATAGAAAATAGTAATTTTAGATGGCTAGGAGTTTTAAATACATCCAAGCCCAGTAATGCTAATGTGGTTTTCATGTAGGCAACCCAAATTACTTGCGTATGAACATCATATTTAATATAATAGCTTTACAATTAAACTACAAACTTATGTTTAAGTTCTCAACATAAATTGGCCTAGAGTTAATTGAATAGACTCAGGCTCCTTTGCACTGGAACCTTTAATAACCTTCACAGGTGGTAATTTTCGCAGTTTACGTCCATGTCTCCCACCCTTTCGTTGCCATAAACCCGATCGGGGCCTATTTCCCAATTCCCTATTTTTCTGTGCAGACCCAATAGGTGTGGAACCATGCTCTACATTTCCAATCCTACCCACAGTGCACATGCACTCTTGTGGCAAGGAAAATTCCTTTTTACTAGGCATTTTGATGACCACGTGATTATTTGGCGCTTTCCTCAAAATGGTGGCAAATGTTCCAGCTGCATGCACCAAGAATCCACCTAAACCTACATATTTCTCAATATTGTGTATTTTGGTACCAAGAGGAAGAGCTCCCAAGGGGTATGCATCACCTTCATTTGGCCTTACTAAAATATAAAAATATAGAATAAAGAGACAAATAAAACAGACATATTGTTAACAATGATATAAAAAATTTACCTGGAATTCTAGGTATGTGCATGGATGTTTTGATAATATCACCAGCTTTCATGTTTTCAGTTGCTAAAATATATTTGAGTTGATCTCCAACTGCAACTAAGGCAACATTTGCAGTAATGATTGCCATCCTTGATGATTTTATCACTCTCTCATCCTGTGGTGGACCTTCTTTTGGACCTTCTCTTCCATTGAATCCAATGATATTTGTGTTTAATGCCACCACCAATTCCTTTCACTGCTAATCGGCCTGTCACTGGATCTCTACCAGCCAAATTGGTAGTGTCCAAGGGCTTAACTGTATAATCTTCAGGAAAGTGAATGATTCGACGATATGCAATACCTGTACCAATTTCTGGTTTCACTACATACTTGTAGTTTCTGTATGAATTTGTAAAAACTGGTGTAACTGATGAGCTTCTAATGCATAAGCGTGATAACGCTGTTGATAAAGATGCCATTCTTATTACTTAAGGTGTAAGAATTAAAGAATTAAATCACTCGCGTAAAACATTACTTTCAGGTTATGTCAGCTGCGTTTGTGAACGCGCGCACGGCACGATGTAGGTATACCAAGTGTATATTTAGGAACGATGTTTTAATTTAGAGATTTAGTGCGGAACTGGTTTTATTCTGTAGATATATTGTACAACTTGTTATTGTCAATTTAATGTGTGTTATTATTCGATTCTGCAAAGCTATATTGGAGTTAATGTTGAATAATGTTACATATGAAAGCTTGTTCATTCTGCCCTTCATCGCAATGGCAATATAATGTAACTTTGCAAATGCTATAATTTGATTGTAACATTTAATGTAAGGGCTACACTGACTTCTAAAAGAATTAAATTGAAAGTTATCATTTTGTTAAGTATTTGACGTACTAAATATTAAAGATAATGCCTGTGATGAATACGATTATTAAACAGTTTTAAATTATAAGTAATTACATTTTAAGTGTGTGACACAATTAAACCTTAAATACAAGACCTGCCACAAGTTTTGAACTAATTGATGAAATCTTAATAAGCGTTGCGTGCAATTATCCATGAAATTGTAGACTTGCTAGTTTATTTCAAGTCAATTGAATAATTCGAATATAAAATTTGACCAAGTACTTGTGGTAATTAAATTAAAAATCTTAGTGTGGCGGTCTTCCTTGGATACATTACATTTTCAGCAAAGCCGTCATTTTATTATACAAATACACCATAAGGTGGACAATGCAAATAGTAAAATTCGTGGATTTTGATGCTGGCGCCAAATCTTCAATAGGTCTCGCAAAAAGTTAAACCTAGGACAGTGTTAAAAACCAATTGGGTATTCCAAAAATAAAATATTACATTACATAAATTTGGCAGAACCCCGAGAACACCCCGAGATCCTGAAGATGTTTGTTCTTATGGCTTGTGAAATCTTCTGTAGAATCCTCTGTTAAGTAACCATTTCTTCAGACACCGTAATCCAAATAAAAACCACGATTAATGCAATGTTGTAAAGTTTAATTGTGGAATTTTCGGAAAATACTTAATTTAGAAGGTGGATTTTCATCGCTAGATGGAAAACGATAGGAAATTTGAAAGAACTATTGAAATCGCAAAATCGGTTCCCGAGATAAAGCCGAATTTTCATAGAAATTATGAAAAAAATCATAAAATTAACAGTAATCAAATTGTATTATATATATCACTTTACTTAGGGTAAGTGAAACATGGAATTTAGTAATAAAGTTAATACACATATTCACACATACTAAAACGTGTAGTGTGCAACAACCCGCGTACAGTGCAAGATCTGAACGCCATAACTTGTAACATTGATATTGATAAACGCGTAGAGACAAAAACGACAACAATTCTATTGTGTGTACCTAGTAATTTCACAATATTGAAATCTCCTCAAATGCGTACATACAAAAGACTATAAAATCCGATTACGAGACCCTTATATGGAAATAATGAATTATGAAAAATAAATTAGTAGTATTAATTCAATGCTAAACTTACCAGTGGAACGATGACGAACTGCAACTGATGTTTCATGCAGTTTTCAGCAAACACATGGCATACATTGTAATGACTGAACAAATTCAATTTTTCAAAAAACTTACATTATCCTTAAAAATACATGAGGTACAAATTCAAATAATTAAACAAAGTAGTGTAGATATTTCGATGTATATTTTTTTGTACACTGACTTACAAACATTGTGTATGTGTATTACATATTAATTTCTTGTTCAACATTGAAAATGATCACACATTTATTAATATTAATATTATTTTTTGTTATTTTTAATATATCATAATATAATATAATCAATAAACAATAACGTCCCGCTATGAGATAAGTGAGAACACCATCATCATACTGACCGTTTACAAATCCAAAGTAAAACGAACGTAATCTTTGCCTTCTAACTTTACTCTTCTTGCTTGCTTTTTTGATCTTTTACATTGAGTTAAAATTATGTACATAGGACATTGTATAATGACCCATACAGATATTATCCTTCAAGGTTTTTCGTATTCTTTCTTATCATTGCTCTCATTCCGCGAACCTATCAATATAATGTAATCGTTAATTATTATAAAAACACACACAAAAATGTTACCATTATCACAATATCGTTTCCTGAACAGCACCAATGTTCATTTCATTATCAGTTTCAGTGTTAAGTTATAGTAATTTATTAGTTCTGCTGAGCAAGTTAATGCTGATTACCCATTCCAATTAATCATGTTCCGAACTATTCAAAAGGGTAATGTAAAATGAGTAAAGTCAAACTTATTGTCACTAGCGGAAAAATTGAATTTAATTATGGTTTTCGTTCACAACAGTGAGTAAGAAGTCGGACACCTAATACGATTACTATTACAGTACAGAGTAGATTAACATTTTTTTTCTTTGGGAAAAGTTTCGTCAAAACCGCTAGAGTGTATATTTGAAAAACACAAATCTAGTGCGTCCAACATTTCGCTTGAAAACTACTTTCTTAAATCGTTACACATTCACATTAATATCAAAAATTATCAAAATATCATTAATATCACAATTGCATTGAAAATCTGAAGTATTTACAAAGAAAACAAAGAAAATTTCAATCAAACGCTTAATAATATTACAACAGACCGTAACAAATCATAAAATTATTATAAACATGTGTACAATTCAAAACAAATATAAAATAAATAACACAGATGAACAGATAATAATTATACCTCAAATGTTAGAGCTTATAACAATATTTGTTGGTAGAAATAGAATAATACATATTCTTGTCAATCTAATTTAAAATAAACAGAATAATTACTTTCTGTTTTGTCTTTGTGTCAACATAAGAAGCTCACACATTTAGGGCACAACAAAAGTTTGAAATTGTTAATTGTGTCATGTCATCATCAATATTAAACTACAACGGTATTTAGATCCAGAAACAAATCGAAAAAGTGCTTACATTTATAGTTCTTAGATATTATATTAATAATAAGAGACACCGAAGAACGACACTTAGACATTTTGTTCGCATAAAATATTATAGGTTGAATTTTGTTCGAGAATTTCAACAGACAAAAAGCACCCTCATGTGCTTCGAAGGTGTAAATAATCTGTGTAAGTTTGATTAAGTCTATGCCCCTCCTATCTCATTAATTTACAGACGATACAATCATATTATTTCTTTGAAAATGTTTAAACCACAATTAATTGACAACATTGACCAAACTGCCAAGTTAAATAGACATTAAGTGAAATACTTTTAAAGTTTTACACAAATTTTACACCGTCAAATCAATCAGAAAACGCAAAATTTACAAGATTATTGAGAAATGATTATTATGCCTTAATAATTCGTTTCAGTCCCACAGTTTCCAACTACAAACATGTAAATTGCATAACATTTCATTAACCATTATTTCATTATTTGCACAATTTTTACTACTCGCATAACTTCTCTGTAACAGCACAACAATATCACCACGCATTGCATTTCGCGTTATTTTCACCGCAATCGTTTGCCATCTTCCTCATCTGCTTACATAACTACGTGTAGAGTTATTCAAAATCGAATCAATGTTTATTAATAATCGAATTACATACAATTAACTCTGGGCAAAAATATATATTCTCTCCATTTGACTCCGCTTTACATTCAATAGTTTTCATTATTATTTTCTCGGTAATAAATATATTATTATCATAGTAATTTCCCTTACAGCATAAATTTCATTGCGCCTATACGTGTACGATTTCGTTTGTTTTTTCGTGTCGTTTTAAGTGTCTACAACACGTTTCGTTCGAACACCTTTTCGCAATGTTAATGTTAAATCTGGTTTAGCATGTATATCAATTTGTTAAATAGTAGGAACATGAATCCATAAATATATCTGTTTAAAATATGTACACGTTTAATAATCATAGATTTTAAAATGGATCGAATGTTGTCTCGGGGCCTTCGCATGGATGGATGATCCCATAATATTTCTCATTATAGATATATCGTAATGCATATCGAATAGTTTACGGAGAGAACAATTTGAACAACAATACACCTATGTCGTCTTTACTTGTTTATACATTAATAATTGGACAATTTCTCGTGTGTTTTAAAATTTGTTTTGAGTTTAGTTGAACGTTCTGGAAGGAATTAATGTTATCCGCAGGGAATTTTCATTTTGTTGGACTCGCTTGTCGATCGTTTATTTGTGTTAATGTTCATGAATGTGTGTATCACTAAAAAGGCACGTCATATGAAGAAGAATTACAATTATATAAAAACTATCCGTTCGTTTTATGACTCATCGTCTAGATGTCACCCATTTTGTATTCGGTTCTCACTTTAACATTCCTTAATACTAGCTTGTTTAAACGAAGAAAAATATAAACTGTGTGATATTATGCTTATCTCTTATCTCTACTACAAACTGGCAATCAATCGAAGGTTAAATCAATATAAAAACCCAGCACACTCGAAGAAGAAGTTCCTACTGTAAAATCAGTCTTTGTATGCCCCGTTTCAAATATATTTGAGAAAATATCACACGTCGTTAATCTAAATTCGCTCCTGGCCATCACAATGCGCGTCACTGACCTAATCTAACAATATGTAAATCAGTCTCACTCACAACCGCACCGTTTTCGTTTGCTTTAACTAAAATCAGTCCGTGAAAAGCAATCTTATCTCGCGCTATCGTATAATATCACACAGTAGAATTAAAAGTCGCTCCCTACAAACACTGTGAGCGAGTGGTACTAATTTAATAAAAAAATATGCAAAACTATAATATTGTTAGTCGGTAATCTCAAACGCCTAATCCTAAACACTTATATAATGAATTACCAAATTGCTCTTTTCGAAATGTGTGAATATTTCTGAATTGACTCCCATTTTATTCGAGGGTCGAGCGATTGCATCCGAAACATGAATTGTTTTGTATTGTTTTCAGTGTTTTTTTTTGCTTGCATAAATTAAACTATGTAATAACTAAAAAGATTGATAACAATAGTTTGATTTTAGGTTTAAAACTTGTTCTATGGCAAATATTGAGGTACATATGATTGTTGGAGCCTTGAGGCTAGCTTTAGT